GTGTCTAACCCCTTAATGAATTCTGGTAACCCCGTTATTTCTTCTGTCCCGATTATTATCCCTGGTGATAATATTGCGGGTATTGGTGATGTTGTTTCGGCTCAAGGGGTTTTGAACTACGATATTGATATTAATGTTGTGGAGGTTGATGCCTTGCCCACTATTGAATTTCTGGTTAATTCTCCTGATGCTTTGGGGACCCCTGTTCCTTTGATTGTTTCTGTTGGGTTGGGTGGTAGCGTCTCAACTGATATTGATGTTGGGGTAATTGTGGATCCCGGTTTAATTTCCTCTGGTGTTAATGTTAGTAATGTTGTGGCTGTTGGTTCTGTGGTGGCTGTGAATAATGTTTCTGTGAATTCAACGATTGACGTCAAGATGGCTGTGCAACCGGCTGTGAATGTGGTTACTAATGTTGAGAGTGAGCGGGTGGTAAAATTAAATGATGTTGCGTCCTGCTCTTATAATTTTGTTGATGTCCCTGTTCATTTGGTTGATACATAGACTTTTGCCAATCGATTGGGTGATAATTCGGGTTTTGATATTATGAACCATGTAGATTGGCTACATGGTTCTTCTGAGTTTGAATATGAATCCGATTTTTCGGATTGCGGCTTGGAGTCTCCGGAATTTTGTGGTGGTTCTGATCTTGGTAACGAGTTCACTTTGATACGAGATAGGCATGTTTGCTCGGTTGCTTCCCGTGGCCGTTTTCGTGGGAGGGGTCGTAGAAGAAGATGATTCTTCTGTTAAATGTAATTTTTTTGTTTTTTTTTTCTCTTACGTTTGATTCGGGTTGCTATTATGATTTATATGGTCGGGTTTATGGGGGCTATGATGTGGCTGAGGCTCGTACTCTCGTCGTCGAGCGGGTGGCAACCTCTGGTGTTGTTCGTTGAGTTTGGTTGGTTTTTGGGGCGCTGACTTCACCTGATTGGATGGTCTGTGCGAGGCCTCGGGGGTTCTAGGATCCTCGGCCTAGTACCGAGCCCAATTTAGGTTGTCTTCTGCCTTTTTCTTTTTATTTTTGAGTCTTTCGCTATTGTAACCGTTCTCATGTTTATTTAATATATGTCTTTGTTTTGTTAAAAAAAATATTAAAAAAAAAAAAAAAAAAAAAAAAAAAAAAAAAAAAAAAAAAAAAAACTCCAGTTGGCTGATTATGTGAAGAAGAGGTACAGAGTAAAGGCGTTCGATCTGGATGATGGATGTAAGTGAATTGTAGATTGTAATTTTGTAGAAACGACATCTGGTTGAATTGATGGAAGTAGAATGTGAGACACAATCCAATTGAAGCACTGGCATGATGACTCGATCTTGAACCAGATGCATTTTTTGATGTGAAGAAATGTGAAATGCAAAATCGGTGGCAAAATGTTGTGGATGAGAGACAACAATCAGTTGGAGACAATATTATTAAAGACTCATTAACAACCATTAAATTCTTGAAACCCCTACTTAACTCAATTACTTAATATAATTATTTATGTTATTAACATGCAAAATTTATTCCAGATCTGAAACATTTGAAAATGATCCCGACTTTGCACAAAACCTCTTAAAATTTTATTCGAACATAGTATTTATGTTGTTTGAGATGGACTTCAAATAAATTATTAAAAAATGAACATTATTGTAATCCAAATTTAGCTTTCAAGCCTATTTAGCAAAACAAAATTGAAGGAAATATTACTCTAACTCTTTAGTTATTGCGATATGATTAAGACTTTTTTAGTCAATTAAAATATACTCATATACATATTATACACTTAAGTTTTGAATTCAAGTCTTCAATGCCTCTTCGTTGATAGTCAAATATCAAGATGAGCTAGGTATTTTTATAAGATGGAGTGATGGAAAAGTTTTTTCTCCTTATTTTTAATCAAAACTCGAAAATAACAAAAACAAATTATATATTTGTGCACATAACCTCAAAATAATTAAAAAAAAAATGTAGGCCATATTTTTGTGAAGATAATTAGGTGTGAACATGCTGAAGAGACATATACGTACCCAAATTAATTCTGTTAAATTTCCAATATGATATATACAGATTTTATAGTACATGGTCATTTTATGAATAGTTATAATTTATTCTTATCACGTTTTACTATGATAGTGCTTATGTTGACTTAATTTTTTTTTTTCCAAAACAGAAATTATATTAAAATAAAAAAGAGTTACAAGAGGCCAAGAAACAAAAGAAAAATACAAAAAGAATTAGTAGGCTCAGTAATTGGCCAAGGCTTCCAGCTCCCCCGAAGCCATGCACAGACCCTCCAATTTGGTGAAGAACGCCGCGAAGAAATCAATCCAACCGACCAGCCAAGGCACCAAAAGATCAACACCAAAGGTTGCCATGAGCCATGACAACAAAGAAGCGAGCCCCAGCCACATCATAGCCTAGCACATCCACGACCAACAAAAAACTTGATCGAATCAGCTTAAAAAAGCCATCCACAGAGAAAAACAAGGGGCCAAACAAACTAACGAACCCGTCTGCCACTCCCACAAGGACCTGCCACTAGAGCCGGCAAAAATTGGTCGGTCACTAACCATTTTAAAATCATGTCGAGGATCAGAACCTCCACAATGCTCTGAGGAGGAATCAGACTCAGCTTCCAACGAACAGTGAAGCCAATCAAGATGCAACCGCACATCCATCCCAGAATTATCACCCACATGATAAACCATAGCATTGGGTTCGATTAATTTTACAGGCACATCCACAAAAGAGTTAGGAATAACCAACCCATCACCTGAATTAACATCACTCCTAACAACATCACCACCAACAAAAGCCTCACAAGACACCACCTCAACATCAGGTAAAGGAGAACCAACAGAGTTTAAACCACAAGGAATACCACTTTTCATTACAACAGATACAGGATCCCCTCCCCCCATATCCACAGAAGCAGGGACACGACCGGAGGGGACATCAGCAATAACCAAATTAAAATCGACCACCGAATTAACAGTCGCAGAAATGAACTCGTTCTCCACACCAACATGATCATGAGAACTAATAGGCAAATCAAAATTTGCCCCAAAAACAAAAACACCACAGGCTAAACCAGAGTCGAAAGTGACATTGTTAACCCCCAAACTATCATCAGCACCCCTAACTACAAGATCAGCATTACTATAATTAATAGCAAAAACAGACGCCACCTGACCATCCGGAGAAACACACACAGGACACCGAGCGACAAGGACGACGTCATCACAGATCGGAGGACAAGAGGCGTCGATTAAGCTAGAGGAACAGAGTTCACTATGGGATCAGATACATAAGCCATCGGCGGGGGAGTCGAATCCACAGCCGGCCGCAAATGAGGGAATAACTTAATACATTCCGACTTCTTATGACCCACAGCTTTACAATGCTGACAGAAATTCGAAATTCCTTCAAAAATAACTCTCTGAATATGCCCAAGTTTATCCGGACCCAGCCAAACAGAATCAGGGAAAGTTTTGGAAATGTCAATTTCTACAAGAATACGAGAGACTGAAGGACGTGAACCAACAGCCGTGGCATTATCGGTGTGAATCGGGCGGCCAAAAAGGGAACCCAAACCAAAAAGAATTCGAGGAGAGAATAGGTGAGGACGAAGCCTCGGAAATGAAATCCAGACAGGGACAATCGGCGACTCCTCTGGAAGGTCAAGGAGAGGCGACCACTTTATCATTTTCATGAAACAACCAAAAACGAAATAGGATCGATGCGCAAAAACCCTCCCATAGTCGAGGTCATTCGAAAGCTTGATCAAGACATTCGACTGATCCAAAAGATTAACAGAGAACTCACCCGATAATTTTAGGTTAAAAAAAAACCTACGTATCGAATCCAAAGCTGGCCGCTTAAGCGGAAATTTCCTCACTAAAGCAAACTTAAAAAGTTTCGCAAGATGTTGAAATTCATCCTCCGAAATCCATAAAGTCGGCATACCCCGAATCGTAAACACACAAAAATTCGGAAAAACCTTAGAGACATCAGAACCAGACAACACCTCTTTGAAAGATTTGGAACACTTACCCTCAAGAAAACCAGGGTCTAACCATTTATTCGCCATAAGAAAAGGGCTGAGAGAGACGGAGACGGAGGCGACTAGGTCAAAAGCCCTAGCAGAGCGGCAAAAAATCACTCGTGTATCCTAATAGTGATTTAGAAGTGAGAAAGGATGTTGACTTAAATTTAACAGATGGAGAGATCTGTTTAGTTGAAGCCTGAATTAAATTTAGAAAAATAATTTTTTAAGTATATGGTTGATTAAAAAGATTAATTAATCTACTTAAAATAATCAAACAAAATTAAGACTATTCTAATATAAATTTAATCAAATTTTTAAAGTGTATAAATTTATATTAAAATATTATATATTAAAAAGTATATTATATTTATGTTAAAATAAATTTAATAATTTTTAAGTTCATTTTAGTTATGTTAGATTATCCTAAACAGTTTTTTTTCATTAACCATTTGTAAACTAGCCAAAGGACTTAGGTGAAATGAAGTTGGTAAAACTTTTGCGTTAAAAAAATTAGCTTCTTGAAGCAGCTTTTTATTATAAAAATTAGAGATTTTGTACTAAAAAGCTGGTTAAAGAAACATTAAAATAACCGTCACAAACGAAACCTATCCTCACCGGAAATCAAGCATACAATTTACCCTTTACTATTATTAGCAACATAATTAAGGAGCAATATATGAAAGATAATATATTCAAAGTCAAACTAAAAGGTTGTTAAGTTGGTAATATTCCCTATTGAGACAAGCTAATTGTAGGTGAAGCAGAGCTTAATTAGGCCTAACCACCATTCCGAACATGAGGATTGTTGTTAATTTAGCTCTTAATTAACTAACTGACAAAAATGAACAAATCATAACAACATTCTTTTATATGGATGAGAAAAATTTAAATATCATTCATTTTGTCATGAAATTAATGTAATATAAAATATTATTCTCAATATAAATACAAATGCAAATTAAGAAATTAATATGGAATAAGGAAATATATTTCTCAATGAAAATGTACATGGCAATAGGATGCCATTATTCCAGAAATTCAAAATTACAATTACAACACCATTGTTCAGAGCAACTTCGTAGAACCCCAAAGGGTTAATGGAGGCCCAATGACGTCATCAGTGATTATAAATGGTTAATCATCATCAAACATTTACTTATTTACCCCCTCCCCCCTTGGCTTGGACTACAATCTCAAGCTGTAAATTCTACACAAATAACGCCCCCCCCAAAAAAAAAAACAAGAAAATGCGCAATAGCTCCACCGCGGTCCAGTCCTCCGCCGGGACGGTTACCCCCCGGCGAGACCATCAACAGGCGTAGAAGTCAACCAGCTCATCAAGCGACTCGGGCTGCGGTTCGGCGTTCTCGAGCATCCACAGTAAGTGTTCGAAGAGCACAACCTCGCAGTCGACGACTGTAGCGCCGCCACCGCCGCCGCCGGAGCGATTGACAAGGTTCTTGAAAAGCTGGTGGTCAACGAGATCTGAGCTTACGACGTACCGCCGGCGAGACTTACCGACATATACCTCATGGAACCCGGCGGGGACTTCGTTTCCGCGGAACGACGCGGCATGCCACGTTTCGTACTCTTCCGACCGCCCTGAATCGCTGTCGCCTGTACGGTGGATTCTATTGGAGGAATTCCATCTCTTTATCATGCGCGTCAGCTTGTTTAGTTTCCCGTTCTTCGCCATTGCCAGTGCCACTGGAATCGAGCGGCGGAGCCGGAGAGAGATTGGGAGGGTGAAAGAGGAGAGGTGGTGGACGAAGGAGGTACCGAAGCAACGGGTTTTAATAATGGGAGAGTAAGTAGGTCCAGGAGATGAGAGTAAGAGTTGGGACCATTCAATTTAAACCAAATTATATCAGGAGTTTATATGATGTATTTTTAATTCGAGAAATGCAAAATTAATGATTAAATAAAGATTTTTTATTAAAAAAATATTATTTTATTTTTAGAATAAATAATGACTTTGATCTTATCATATAGTACAAATAACTAATTAATAAATAACTTTTTCTTTTTAAATTCTTATTAATGACCGAAAAATTATCAGTATTTCACTATTTTCTGCTTTTTTTTTTCCCAATGGATGCAAAGGGAGGGCCCATTAGTAGATGATTAGTTAATAAGGCGCCATGTCACAGGTGGTTTGTCTTTTTTTCCATGGGCTCGGAATCTACTTAAAACATTAAAGGTCATGTTACGTGGAACAATTATTACGTCCTCCGATCGAATACAGAGGAACATTTGGTTATAGGCAAAATTCCGCCTATATCGAGGTGTTCCGAGTTTTTTTGGAAAAACTCGGTACACCTCGGTATAGGCGGAATTTTGCCTACAACCGAATGTTCCTCTGCATCCTTACACCGGACCAAATAAAAGTTCTGTTACGTGAGAGTTTTTTTTTTAAGTTATTATTTTTTTAATATTTAGCGAAAATAAAATTGCTTAGAACCTATGTAATAAAAATTAAATACACAAATATTAAGATAATAACACATCCAATTCGTACTAATTATTTGCATTATGAGTGATTGATTATTGTTAATCAATGTTAATATTTTATTAAAATCATTAGTATAACAATTTATCTTGAGCTAAGTATAAAAATATATATATATTGTGTTAATGCAGCTACAACTAAGAGCAAAATATTTATCAATGAGAGCGAACCGATATTGTCCAGAAACTTCTCTATAATGGAGAAAATGATAGATATATTCAATTGAGAAGAGAGAGTTGGTGAACACCTACAACAATAAAAGATAGTGTAGCGATTGGATCGATTATATTGTCAATAACTGATATCGTTAACAACAAAACATTGCATGCAATGTTGCAAGTGTTCAAATATCAGTCATATAGAAATAATATGCAAATCAATTGTCAATAAAGTGCTTGCTAAAATGGTGGAGATCTTTTTTTTTTTTTTTTTTTTTTTTTAAAATTTGGGGGAAAAGCCAATTTTTTTTTTTTCAAATTTGGCAGAAGCCCATCTATTGAATAACAAACGAAATAAAAAGAGAGAACTTATGAAAGAAGAAAAAAAATAAAAAATGTAAGAAAGATGGAACAAAGGAAAACAGAAAGAAGACAAGACAAAACACAAGAACTCCGATCACTAGAGAAACATGAAAAGAGTATATGTGCTCAAAAAGGACTCAAAAAACAAGGCCAACATCCAAAGAACATCATAACATCAAGTTAACAGACGGGCGGCAGCATGAATATGAAGTTAGAAGCCTCTGGTTGCGACAGGATGATAACAGAAGGAAGAGAAAACATGAGTGTCATCACAAAGCTCCAGCACCTAAGCATAAGACTATTCCGCAAAATTCCATGGTTGCCATCCATAGAAGTAATGGCAAGGTGAAGGCCTTTCTCATCATAGTGCAGAGCCCAAAATCTCCCAATCCAATAAAAAGGAAAACAAAAGACCAGATCTAATATATGATGGAGATCTCATCACTTCTTTGAAAAATAGCATTTTAAGTCAAGCCCTATGCAATTAATCCCCGGAGGTGATATCATTAGAAAGGGCGGCCATTTTGATTGATTTTTTTCTCTTATTGTGTGTAGTTGGCAAATGTATATAAGAGTACTATAGTCCTTCACTCTTCTGGCACATTGATTGTTTTTTACACAAAATGAGTTCTTTTTTTCCTTTTTTTTCATAAAAGAAGTAGGACCACGAAATCATACAGAGTAATAAATATGAAGTTGTGACAATATGATTGACAAGATTGGAATTGGGCACGACAATCAATTATTTTGTCTCATTTTTATTTATATTCCACGAACTTTATCATATGAACAAACTCTTTGTACGTTAGAACAAATTTGTTTTCATGCATCAACTTCAATTCTTTCATGAAAGCGATCTATCAAAACCTAATGGGCTAAATGACTCACAATGCTTCAAAAGATAACAAATACTATTTACTCAACTATAGATGTCCACTCATGCAGGTACATCTCAATCCGTTTTTATTTGTGTGCATGTGATGCATAAAAGCTTATTCAACCTCATATATAATATATACATTTATTGGTATATTCATCGATATGAATCATACTCACATATATAATAAAATTAATCAGAATATTTTGTTTCAAATTTTAATTAGAATGAGTCTTATATCTTCTATATCTACTTTGAGCTAGACGCAATACATAAATTGTTAGTATTACACTCATCTCGAACAAGTTTACTAATTTTGACATATATAAATTTTTCTATTTTGCCGAGAGATGTGCTGGTTTTCAATCAAGAGAAGCTTATCAAATGATGCGTTGAAAGCTCATGTGGCTAGCAAGTTGATAGACTCTTTTGATCATTTTGATTGGATGAATGCATCCTCTAATAGTGGGGGAGAGGTGGAGGATATTTTGGATATACACCTAATGAATTTCATAAATTATATAGTTTGCAGGATGGTCTTGTTGTTGATAATGTTGTCTCCCTTAATGCTGGCAGGCGTCGTAGAAGAAAATCCAAATAAAAATGCTTTGGGTTTGTTCTTCAAGTTGGGTGCTACTATTCGTGGTTGATGTTGGGTATTGGTTTCCTTTTTTGGTTGTTTGGCATTTCGGTTAGCTTTTGTTGGTGTGGACTGTGGATTGTGGTGCTGGGGGGTTTTATGGCCTAGACAATAATGAGGTAGTTTTATGCTCTCCATTCTGCTTGTTGGCAACCACTGGAGGTATTCATCTGTGTGGCATGATGTTTGTTCCTCCTCTGGATGGCCCCTGCCTACGGTTTGGGTGGTTGCAGAAAGTTCACCATTAAATGAGCCTGACTAGCTTTTTATCCTAATGTCTTCGTTTATGTCTGTTGTTTTGACATGACTTTTTTAACCTGTATGTGTTGCGTTGTCCGTCTTGGAATTGCTTCTATCTTTCCTTTTTATTTGGAATAAATTATCCTTTTGTTTGTAAAAAAAAATCAAGAGAAGCTTGTCAAATCATGGCATTAAACCCACTCAAGTGCGTACTTAGCTAGCTAACGTAAGGTTATTTTGGGAAATTTTTTGTATTTTTCTCATATATTACATACATTTTAAAGAAAATAAAGCGAATTTTAGATCTTCCAGGTTGAAATTTTCAAGGATTATCTGAGTTTTTTTAATTTTTCGCTTGTTTTGGCATAGCCTTTTGAATTGAATTGATAAGCCAAACTTTAGCTTTCTGATAGCAAGGAAGTTATCGAAATCAACAAAGAAGCCAAAAAAGAGTTGACAACCTTTCCTGAGCTCCATGTGATTTGTACTCCCGTCTCATAAATTACAATGAGACAAAGGCCTTGAATTGGGGAAGCAAACATACATTATGCAAGCTACTTTTACGCCTTTATTATCAAGATTATCTAGAGTTAATGATTTATCTTTATCCATATTTCATAAAAATTTATATCAAAATATCTTATTATTATTTTGACGCATATAATAATTAATTTTGTTATATTCGGGTCAACAAGATTTGATTTGGGTTAAACCCTTACCCAACAAGTTAACCTAAATTGAGACAACTATATATATAAAATCTAATATAGAATATCCCAATTGGTGAGGGTGTGGGAAATGAGCTAGTGGGGGCCGAGAAGGAGTTTAATGCTTTCTTTAATTTAAATGTGAATCACATTGTTGAGAAGACATTCTCCCATGGATGTGGGAAACGATGGCGGCGTAAACCCAAAAGGAATTAATTGTGATTGTTCTACTATCATTGGGGGCCTTCTGTTGCGTTGTTGGTCGGTGCGTGACACTCTGATGACTGTCTTTTGTGGATGTGGTTGGCTTTCGTTTGATTTGAATGTAATGTTGGGCTTTGCAGCTGTATCGTTCTTTTGTGGGCAATGATGTGCAGCTTTTTGTTCACCACCTGAACAGTCGTGACTTGTTGGCAACTATTGGTAGTACTTTAGCTTGTTTATCTTCTTTGTGGATTGTTGCTTGTTTCCTCCTCTGGATGGTCCGAGCCTGGCGTATGGGTAGTGGCAAGGAACTTTTGCTAATTACTGAGCCCGTCTGGCTTCTTCATCTTCATCACTAACTGCTTTTCTCTTCATTTCTAACTTTGGTCGTGTAATGCTAATTTATTCTTGTTTTGCTTGGTTCTATCCTTCTTCATTTGATAAAATAAAATATCTACATTAATTTTAAAAAAATAATATAGAATCTCCCGAAAAATCTATCTAGAATTGCTCATAATCTCTCTTTCTAACTTGCCTTTATGTAGCTCAATTCAAGTTGTTCCTCTCTAATTCAGAGGAGCTCAACTGGATTCTATATAGATTAATTCCTTATGAGATTCATCAAGACACATCCTCTCTCTCTCTCTCTCTCTCTCTCTCTCTCTCTCTCTCTCTCTCTCTCTCTCTATTTCTTTGGTTTACTGGATTGATTCACTATGTTAAAATATTATTGTCATTCCACAAACAACTTTAGATCAAAAATTATACTTAACGTTGATAATTACATCGTTAAAAGAAATGTACCGACCTATTTAATGGTGTACATGAGTAAAGTCTTAGCGTGCTAGCTCAAGCATTGCTTGGCTTAGGTTTTTAAGAAAATGAGTTAAATTTTTGCTTATATACTATTCTCATTTATTTGTCGAGCCAAACATAAGTAGCTTCTCAATATGAAGCATATTCAACTCTCATACATATTACATAATATGCATGTCCTTACATAAATATGTTCATTCCTATAAATAAATAAATAAATTATATAACAAATTCATGACCATCTAAATTCTGGTTTAAGCAAACTTATGGTGGAAACAAATGTTTCGAAGAGATGAGCCCAATAACACTAAAA